GGGCGATGGTGCCAGGTGGCAATTTGAGCCTGTCCCTCAACGACCATTCACCATTCTGGGTGCCGGATGCAGCTCAAACTGGTGCTCTGCCAAGGGTCCTCTGGGGCAGCTCTCCCTAACTCAGCCTCCATCTGCCACCTCCCCAGTCTGCCAGGATGACCAGAGAGCTCCTCCTGCCCTTACCACCACCTCAGTGCCCAGCACTCTGGGGACAGACACCACAGGAACTGGAAGCCCGAAGACAGAGGGAAAAGGTGAAGAATTTGGAGAGCTGGATAACAATGCAGCTGCACTCAGTCTCAACCCACAGTCCCCGCCAGCTGTTCCACTCCTGGATCCCCCCCAGTTCGGCTGATGCCCCTCGATCCTGACCCGCACCGTCCCAAAAGCCAAGTCTTCCAGTGGTGCCAAACTGAGGGTTTTACGCTAAATGCCCATCAAGGGGCTGGCAGAAGACCCACCAAACTCACGCCACGTGTGATGTCATCACAGCTGAAGGGCAATACCCCACCTCTCTTTACCCTACAGACCTCAGCAAGCCATGCGCCAGCCAGGCCAGGGAGACAGGAAACCCCCCCTCCCGACTGGCCCCCCATGGCATTTGGCCAAGATCCTTCAGCCCCCGTGACAGCGGCGTAAGGGTTAGTTTCACACCCTCCACCCTCCCGCCCCCCGAAAAAAACCGGTTCCCGGAAAAACGCCTACCCAGGCAAGCGCATTTGATACACCCATGGGAAGGCTCCGTGGAGGCGTACGGAGGACTAGCCTTTTCCCCCCCCGTACCCTGGGATGAGCCCCATCAGTTTGCTTGCGAAGTGCCCAGAGCCTGGGCTGGCGGGGTACGGCTCGCTGGCTAGTTAGACACCCTCCACCGAGCTTCGCTCACCTCGGAGACCCACAGGGCAGCCCCCCATCCGCGGCCGCTCAGCCCGTGTGACTCCCCAAGGCACTTAGGGGACCAGCCAGTGGAGAAGCAGACCCAGGAGTAACAGGATGGGGTCCGAAGAAATCGGATCAGCCGGCAGTGAGACCTTTTGGACAGGGGCCTTGTTCACCCACCCCGCAGTGTGTCTGCGCAGCGCCAAGAAGAGCGGGGCCCTGGGCACACGAAATAATAGTCGTCTGGTTCAAAGGAAGGGGAGCAAAATCCTCCTTGAGCGACCTCCAACTCGAGGATCCGGATCTCCCCATCCACGCACGGCGAAATCTGGATCCCCCACGCACACTCCCAGTCGGGGCTCCCCTACCGGGCACTGGGGGGATCCGGATCCCCCCCACACACACTCCGAATCAGGGCTCCTCTACCGGGCACTGGGGGGGATCCGGATCCCCTCCCACTCCGAATCGGGGCTCCCCTACCGGGCACTGGGGGGGATCCGGACCCCCCCACACACACACTCCGAATCGGGGCTCCGTCTCTGCCTCACCTTGTCCTTGAGGGGTTTGCGGATGAAGGAAGTGCGCGCCGTGAAGTACTGCTCCAGCTCCGAGTCCGAGTCCTCCTGGCTGCAGTAGCCGCTGCTGGTGGTGCTGCTCCAGGTCATTTCGAAGGACGGGGTCCCCGGCTCGCCCTCGCTCATCCCCTCCCCGGCCGCTGCTCGCCCTCCGACCCTGGCAAGCTGCCTCGCCCTTCTCCGGCCCGGGCTGGGAGCGCTCGGATCCCCGGCGCCTCGACCGGCCCGCTCGGAACAAGCCCGGATCTGCCGGCAGCCCCCGAGGCTAGGTCCGACGGAGAGGGCGGGAGCCCGCACCCCGAAGCGAAGCACTGCCCGCCCGTGGTCCCCGGCTCCTGCTCGCCGTCGCCGGGCTGCAGCCGAGCCGTTGGGATTGAAACGTACACACCGCGCCAGGGGCCGGCCCGGATTGGGGGAGGCTGCGCAGCCAGCTGGGGCGGGGCGAAAGCGCTCCGGCCTCGCCCCTTTCCGGCCGTGATTTCATCCCCAAAGCAGCTCGCCCCGCCGCGGCCGCTCTTCGGCGGCGCTTCCCAAACATTAGCCAGCCTGGGGCCAGCATCGCCCACGATGCAGGGACACCACTGCCACCTCCGCCTCGCTCAGCGTGTTTACATGAGCCGCGCAGGGCGCCCATCATGGCGGTATCTGGGCGCTTCACAGGCCGTATGCATCTATCCTCCCAGTCCCCCCCGCCTCCTCCCCGTGCCAGGCAGGGAAGGGCCAGGACCCCCATATCACACAAGGGCAACTAAAGCACAGAGACTGTCTGGGGCCAGCTCCTCCGAGGTCTTTACTGCTCAACTACCTTGCAGGAGCTGGGCCTGAAGTGATTTGCCCAAGGTCACACAGGACACGTGGTGGGGCAGGGAATTGAGGTCAGGCCTCCCCTGTCACACATTAGTGCCCTAAGCCAGCCTGTGAATAGCCCCGATTCTCAGGCCTGTGCTCTAACCACACAGCAATGCTCCCAGGTAGGTAGGTAGATAGGTGTGTGCTGAGTTAATCAGCTCTTTCACCCAGGAGTCAGAGATGGGTACATCTTAGGCCAGAAGGACCAAAGGAGAGAGACAGACACACTAACTCAGCAGGACATGGGGACCATTTCCATTAAGACAAAACTGCCTTTCTTCTGCATGAGGGAGGTGGCAACAGCCCCAGCAGCAACATGGAGTTCAGTGCGGGGCAGTGCAAACAGGGGATGAAACCTGGCTGACCTTTGTCCCCTCCCAGATCTGCCTCAGTGATTATTCCCCAGCGGCTCCTTGGAGACACAGGCAGGATGCTGGGGCTGACCCTGCTTTCAGGTTCTCACTTGCACTGGGAATCCCAGGCAGTCTCACTTCCTTGCGTTTTTGATCAGGGAGGGGCAGCCCAATTTGGAAAGAATGAGAGCCATGGGAACCTCCACCCCACAATGCAGACTGACACCCCCCCCCATCTTAGCCCCAAAATGCAAACCTCCCTCCCAAACTCAAGCTAGCCCCACAAGCATTTAGCCAAACCAAAGCACAATCTAGCCCCCCCCACTCCAAAGCTCCCCCAAACACAAACTGAACTCCCCTTGCCTAAAGCACAGAGCCCCCAATGCCCTGCAGAGACGGCAAGGTTTGGTTCGCTCCACTCCCCCCTGTGTTCCCTGGTCATGGCCAGTAGTAGAGTCACCAGAAGAGATGCAGCTATCAATGGATTTCTGATTGCACCAGGAGGAATCAGTAATACCATGACAAACCCCAGCCCTTTATGAATTCCGCTCCGGATTTGCAGGCCAGGGCATTCAGACGGCTCTGAAAAGCACCCAGCTGTCTGGGAGTGGGTCAGACCCACTGTCAGAGGCAAAGTACTATTACAACAGCCCAACAGGGCCACAAGAAGCCTGCTCTACCCACCATCAGTGAACCCCTCAGCCGAGGAAACGAGAGACACGCAATGACCTACAACCCAGCCAGGAGCCACTCTGCTGTTGGGTTTTCCTGAGCAGGCTACACAGGGGATGGAGACCTTCACCAGCTCCAGTTCAGCCAACTGGCTGTGATGATTCATTGTTGCTACAGCCCCCGGGGGGCCCAGTCAGCATCACTCTATTAGGCCACATTGTACTAGGCGCTGTTCAGACAGAGGAATATGGGCCCTGCCTAGGGTGACCACATGTCCCGATTTTATAGGGACAGTCCTGATTTTGGGGGCTTTTTCTTATATAGGCACCTATTGCCACCCACCCCTATCCCAATTTTTTACACTTGCTATTTGACGAAGTGGGTATTCACCCACGAAAGCTTATAGACTAACAGACATATTGGAGCACCGCACTTGCTATCTGGTCACCCTAGCCCTGCCCCCACAGGGTTCCCATTGTCACCACCTAATGGCTGCATGGCAGCCCCGGGCATGTGCCCCAGAGCTACTTATATAATGCACATCAGGGTTGTCGGAGCACCTCACAAGGGATTGTACACTCACACACCAAGGAGGTAGGGAAAGATCCCCATTTTACAGATGGTGAAACTGAGGCACTGGGAGTCTGTGGCTGAGCCAGGAACTGAGCCCAGGCCTCCCAACTCCCAGTTCAGTGCCCTAAGCACTAGATCACCCTCCCTGCTGCTCTGCAAATGGATCAACAGCCCCTCGGACTCCATTCACCAGCACAACACTCACTGCTGTTTAAAAGGTCATCCCTTCAGGGTGGGGCTCAGACAGGATTTCCTTTGCACTGGATTTCATCCTGAGAACCTTTCCATATGCTCAGAGAGGGACAATGGTGGGTCTGTGGGAGATGAGAATTGGGGTCTGTAATGGGGTGGGGGGGGTGATGGGCAAAGGGCAATGGTGGGTCTGTGCGGGAGGGGATTTGAGGTCTGTAATGGAGCTGGGTGGAGGGTGATGGCAAAGGGCAATGGAGAATCTGTGGGGAGGGCATTGGGGTCTAATGAGGGTGGGTGGGGGGTGATGGGCAAGGAGGCAATAGGGGTAATGGTGGGTCTGTGGGGGAGGGGAATTAGGGTCAGTAATGAGGGTGGGGTGACAGGGAAGATTCTGACGGACTCAGCAGTGAGCACAGGGGAGGGGCGGGCAGTAGGGGATCCAGACCCCATGGGCGTCCCAGACAGGGGGGCCAGGTGCTCATCTGCCTTGTTGGTAGGTGTCAGGACAGCCACCCCGGCACATGGCATGGAGCTAATTAGCAATGCGCCCGCCCAACTGGGTGAATGGGCCTCACCTCCTTTCCCCCACTGTCCCTGGGGAGGCCCCAGCTGCCGGGAGTGGAGCCACAATCTCAGGATGAAATTGGAGCTGGCTCCTCCACCAGGGCCACAACAAGATTTATGACGCTTTCCCTGGACGCCAGCTAAGCCCCACGTGCACACTGCTGTGCATGGAAGGGGCAGCACCCACGCCTTGGGCTGGGGACAGACAGCAAGGGGAGGAGCTTGATGAACTCCAGCCCCAGCCTCTCCCAGCAGGGGACGCTGTGGGGGCCAGGGCAGGAGCCCTGCCTGTGGGGGGAGCTCCTGGCTGCTCCTGCCCTGTTCCCCACAACTGCTCTCCTACCACATTGGTGTCTTTCTCCACCGTCTGTTCATTGGCCTCAGCCGGGTCGCTGTCCTGGTACCGGGGGCCACTGCAGTCCAGCTGGATCAGGGCGCGGCACCGATAGTGGCAGGTGAACTTGCAGTCTGGGGGAGGGGAGAGGAAAGAGAAGACAGCGTTAGGCGAGCCTGCAGGGGAATTCAGCAGCCTGCTGGAAGGAGCAGCAGCCCCCAGGCTCCAGCGCTTGCCAGAACCCCAGGGCTGGGACAGGGCCAGTCTGACACCATTGAACATCCCAATCAGCTGCATGATGGCTCAGTATTTCCTATCCCAGCTCCCTGCCTCTCCACTTACATCCCCAGGTCCCAGGGAGAGCCCTGCTGCATGGGAACTCGGAGGGGGGCTGTGTGACAAACCTAACCTTGGATCACCCCCACCCCCAACCAGACCAAGCTCAGGCCAGGAGGGAGTCGTTGGCCCCCATCTCAGCCAGAGCTGGTGGCCAGTGTGGGGTCCTCAGAAGCAGAGAGGCCCCCGCTCTGGGCTGAATCCTGACGATCTGGGCCTGCGCTTTGGGATTTCAGGAGGGAATGGAATAAAGGAGCCGGGGTCCCATGAGATCCCCACCAGAAATCAACCAGCAAGTGCACAGGCCTCCTTCAGCCACTTGCAGGGGATCCCACCTTTACAGTCATGCCAGCTCTGCTGCCTGCCCCCAAGATCAGCCAGGGGAGGGATGGTGAGAGCAAGTGCTGGGGACACCAACCCATACCACGCCACGCACACCCCTGCAGAGCTGGGGTCTGCCAAGGAAGTGGCGTAGGGGGATGAGGAGACACGAGCTGGGTGCTCAGCCAGAGAAGCGGCTGTGCGGGTGGAGGGGAAAGGACCAGGCATTACAGGTGGACACCAATCCCAGGTGGAGCCAGGCACAGGGACAGAGAGGGCAATGAAACCCTTGGTGGGTTCCTGTTCTGCCCTCTTCCACTGAAGGTGCTCCACCACCACCACAGTGCACACCCAGCATCTGCCAGCAGCCAGGGAAACAGACCCCAGGGAATGCTCCTGCCCCGGCTTGCAGGGAGGCTGGGCTGGACAGGAGCTAACGGGGCTGCTGCCCCTCCAATTTCTCTGTCCCTGTGATTAATGCACCGTGCAGCTCTGTGGCACTCGGATGCTGCCCTGCCAGCCCCAGGATCTCTGATGGCCATGAGGCTTCCACTCACACGCCCTCCATGGGGCGAGGGAGAGAGTGATCCCCCCAACACGCACACACTTCAAAGGGACCAAGACAAAGAGCCTCTGTCCCAGCAGCATTGCCTTTCCCCAGAGCCAAACTGCCACCCGCCAGCACAAAGAGCCTATTAACGGGCACCCGGCTGGCCCCGGAACCATTCGCCTGGATGGGCTGCAGCCGACCGCAGCTCCTGCAGCGCAGATGGGCTCGTGCAGGAGGAATGCTCCAACGGCAGTCACACGATGACACAATGCAGCCTAAGAGATCCCCCTCACTCGCCCCATGTGCCCCCAATCTCTGCAGGGATGCCCTTTTCCCCACCCCCTATCTCACAGGGGTCTCCTCTCCCCCATAGCAAAGACCTTTCCCTGTTAGAACAAATTCTCTATTTCTTTCCCCTTGTTCTGTGTTACTGGCCTCGGTCCTACCACCTTTGAGGTCTACTTGTGGCATCACAATCCTCTTCATTGCAACCTGTGATGTCACAAAACAGAGGATGCAGCTTGGTAGCAGGAACCAGTCAAATGCTCGGGAAAGAGAAATGGTTTGGGGTTTCCTTCCCTTCCCCCAGATCTCCCGAGCAACTAAGATTGAGGCAAAGATTAGGGAATCTTGGTATATTTTTTAAAAATTGGAGAAACAACATGGTCCTCATTTCATTCAAGGCGGTTTTGTGGCCCCCAAACACATCACTTTTCCAGCCTTTCATCAGAAGATGAATTTCAAAATGTTCCCCATTTTGAAGCAAAAGAATAACTGGTTGGATGAGAATATGGTTTCATATGCCAAATATGTGGCTTGAAAAACAGAGCTGAATTCACTCCTAAGTAGTCCTGTGTTCTTGCCAGCACCCCAAGCCCCCATGCACCCAGGTGGGGAGTGGGGAAAACGGGAACAGTTGGGCACTATAGAAAGAAAACGAGAGCACCTCTGATTTTGGAGATGTTAGCATTCAGTTGTGACTATTTCACAGGGCCCCCAACAGAGAGAGAGGGAGAAAAAAGCATGGCACTTCTCTTCTCTTTGCAGTACCTCCAATGCTGGGAGTCCCGTCCCCCCCCCCCCCCCAAAAAAAAATGGCATCAGGCCTCTGAAAAAGTCCCAAGATTGGCTTAAAAAAACACGAGACCGTGACAAACTAACACATTTTGGGTGCTTATTTGCCTTCTGAGCCTTTGCCATGTTTTCAAGCTGTTCTCTTTGTGAGCACATGGGCTAGACAGACTTCAGAAGAAAATGAACTTAGAGATTCTCATGTAACCCATAGAGACAAAAGCCACCACATATTACAAGAGTCAGGATATAATCGTGACAGGTGTTGACAGTGGGTTCAGGCAACTCAAGGGCCTCTCCCTCCCTCTCCATAGGGACATCAGAACAATCCCATTGTCTATCCAACACATGAGCTTCCTTCCACTGAGAGAGAAGGCAAACTTCCATTTTGCTGAGACACTTGAATGCCTCGTCAGCTTCTAACTAGCCCACTGAGTCCCAGGCTGCCTGTTCCCTGCTGCAGCCAGGCAGCTCTTTAGGAAGCAAACCCATGGTGATTTCCAACCACTGGTCCTGCGAGCAGCAGCAGAAAGAGGCCCCATGCCCCAGCTTTGGAGAGCAGGATTTAGCTGCAGAAGCAGAACCATCACACTTAATTCTCCATGGAAAGTTCCTCCCAAGTTTTCCATGGATTGTCAGCTGTTCTTTTTAGAGGGGAGCTATGACTTTAAATAGGGCTCTGGCACCCTCTAGTGGTTATCACTGCAGCACAGCAGGACAACGAATCTAATTCTTTGACACCAGTGTCACTCCACTGGAGTTACTCCGAGTCACACCAGTAAGGAAGCAGGGGATCAGATCCATGGACTTTACAATGCCACACTCCACTTATCTTAGACACCCACTGCTAATAAAGGCCTACTGAGGTCCCTTCCAACCCTGATATTCTATGATTCTATGTACAGAGGAAGGGGTGGCTGGGACGGTTGTTGCTTATAACTAGGCCTGGCAGAATTAAATTGTTACTTTAGCATCATTTTGATGGAGAATCTCAAGGTTTATTTTTAACTTTTTTTTTATTTTTATCCATTTCAATTTTCACAGTTGCTGGAAATTAGGGGGAGGGGTCAGACAATTGTGTACGGAGAACAGACGCTGAGATTCCAAGAGGTAACGCTTTATAACCGCTAAACACAACATTGACAACGTCACCTGCAAAATGCACAAAGTAACTGTCCTTCAATCAAACTCTAAGGACTTCTCAAGCAGCGTTTTTCTGACATCGCCCGTCGGTACATTTGGATTATTACTGACGGAAATCTTTGGGTTTGTAGGTGAAATTGACATTTATCAACATTGACAATAAAAATCAGATCCTGCCAGGCCTGCTCACAACCAGGCACCATGTCTAACAGGCTCTGCAACTGCCTCCCACTGAACTGTGGTCTCGTTAGATCTCACATATAAGCCTGGTGAGTGCTTGCATGGAACGGGCCCAGGAGATGCAGAAAGTGGGGTTGGTAACTCAGTAGGGGGCACTCTCCCCTGGCAGTCACTGCCCCAGGGCGCTAGGGCGTGCTGTGCTGCAGGAAGTAGGGTGGGTGCTCAGTAGGGGACCCTCTCCCTGCTGAGTCAATGCCAACCCCAATGTCCCAGTGTGGTGGTAGGGCACAGTGTGCTTCAGGAAGCGGTGTTGGTGGGCCAGTAGGGGGTGTCCTCCTCTCTGATGTAGTACTGACCTCGGTGCAGTACTGACACCTTGTGGCCAGTCACAGTCCCTTGGCATTTATAGAAGTACTAAGTATTATTATTATTACTATTATTATTCTTTTCACAAGAATTGTTGCCGGGTAAAGCCACTTTCGGGCCAAAGTGCAACATTGGTCATTAAAATCTGCTGACCTGGCCTCCCCCTGAAGTTTCAGTTGGACACAGTTTTGCTTCCTGTCCCAGGGTTGCTGTGTGCTGTTAAACAGCTGCTGCGTTCCACCCTAGAGGCAGCTGCATTCAGCGGGGTGGGAGTCAAAGAGTTTGTCTGTAACTGATGCAGCACTTTAGGATGACAGATGCTCTCAGTGATCGATTAGTTACAATCAGAAGAGCTTTGCCACACTGGCCTTCATGCTGTTCAGTTACAGCCTTGTCTGCTTGTCCCTCTGGGGCAACAGCTGTCCTGACATTAGAGCAAACACGGATGGGGCAGGAAGCAGCAGACCGCCTCAGGGGAGATGCTGAGAGCGTTCCCACGTCCCATCCTCTGTGGGGGTCAGAGGCACAGAGCTCAGCGTGGGGTGACAGCTGCGAGCAACACAGATTGTGGGGGCGGGGTCGCTGGGCCAAAGGGACCCAGCAATGCAAGAAGGGAAAGCAAGAATCAGCTCAGCTGTCTCCAACACAGCATTGGGGCCAGGCAGATCTCCCTATCCCTTCATGGCAGGGTCACACAAGCAAAGGTTTCAGCTTCCTCCTCCTTCCCAGGAAAATTCCAACTCCATCCCCTGCCCTTTTTCCAGGGTTAAAAACAAACCAAAGTCTCTGGCTTCTCCTTTGGCCCAGAAGGGATCACGGTAAATCTCTGGGCTGATCTACATAGGGAAAATCGACCACGATAGCTACTGCAGAATAGCCTCTTCCACTGTGGAGTCAGGCACCACAGGGAGCCAGCTGGCCTGGGATCCTGAGGGCCCGGGAATCCCAGCCCTGGGGCAGCCCACGTGGCAGGACTGTTGTAGGATTACAGAACCTGGAGGCCTGTCTCAGGACTTTTATGCTTTCTGCAGCAGAGCAGGGTGTCAAGTCCTGGCTAGAGCTGAGGCTCCCAGTGCTTTCAAGCTCCCAGCTCTAGGGTAGGAAGCCTGGAAACTTGTCACGGCAGGGCTGCCCCAGAGCCCCGGCCCTCAGAAACCTTGGGGTCTTCAGCCCCTCTCCTGGCAGCCCACTGGCCACCTGCCTGGGATTTGCTTGCAGCGAATGGAGATCCAGATGCCACTGGGGAAGTGGAGGCAGAGGTGGAAAGGAAATCACACTAAAGCAGGTTGGCAGCTGGGGCATGTCAATCAGTTGGGGTGGGTGGGGCCTCCCTGTCCTTCAGCATGGGACTCTCCTGCCTCCAATTATTTCCATCTCTAAAATATTCTGTTCTGCTCTATACATTTCTCCCTGCTCAACAGAGGCAGGGTGGGCATTCCCTGAGCATGGGCCCAAATCAGTTGACTGATACCGTCTCTAAGGGTGCCAATTACCACCATCCCATTGCCCCACATCATGGCCCTTGCCGGGCTCTGTGCCCTGACCAGTGGGCTGTCAGGTCCATGCCCCGTGCCCTGACCCCCCGGGGTCCCCGCCGGGCTCCGTGCCCACCATCTCCAGCAATCACATCACAGTGTCCGCCAGCATGGCTCCCCACCTGTCACTCTCAGTGCCTGTTGCCATGCCCAGCCTCAGTGCCCAGCCACTCCAGAGACACTCCTTGCCTCTGCCAACTCTCCCAACCCATACAAACACCCCCATGCCTTCCTGCAACCCCCAGTCAGCCTGAGCCAGGCCTGCTGCCTCCCCTGCTCCCCAGGAATGAGCCCCACCAGCCTCTGCCTCTTCTAGCAGGAGGAGGAATTTGGGAGCTAGCAAATGGTTCCATTCCCTCCCTGTCCCAGGCTGGGCGAGTCGGCCCTGCCTCAGTGTTACTGTCCCCCCAGGGAGATCTTCCAGCTCTACATCACTGAAATGCAGCTGCCTCTGAGGTAGAATGCAGCAGCTGTTCGACACCATACAGCGATGCCACCCAAGCCTTTGGGATGGAAATGGAACCTGTTCTTCTGTGGAGAAGACTGAAGAGGGATTCAGGGGAGGCAGATCGTAACATCGCCCAAGGAGGGACATGGCCAAGCCCTTAAGGTTAATACCCTCAGTCTTGCAGACAGTGCCCCACCATCTTTAATGCCTGCAAGCAGGCAGGGCCTCAGGTTCTCGCAGCAGAGCTCTACTCCCTGGCTTAGAGGGAAGGGTGCCCCCTTCCTGCAGCACCTTGGATTTCCCTAAGAGTGCCTCTCAGCCAGCCCAGCTCTGCCTGGCTTGCAGGATCAGAAGAGATCCCAGCTTGACACGCTATGGCTGGAGGAGAGCCTTGGTCTGTCTGTGCCACTGGGGCCTTGCACCCACACCTGCCTAGTGCCAGCCCAGCATGGCAAACAGATAGAGGTAAAGAACCCATTAACCCCAGGGCTTCCTCCCACACCCACGCTTCCTGTGATTGGCAGGCGACCAAGTCCTTCAATTCTTACTGACAGCTGCACCTGGCTGGTCGGGGGTTCCCGACCTGCTGTGCATCTGCTGGGAACTCCAGACCCCACAGTGCCAGGGCTGGGGTTTAAACACTTCCGAGTGGAGCTTTCATGCTCTCCTCACTCACACCAGTGCTGCATCCGGGGGCCCTCTAGCTACAGCGGCTGGCTGTGGTTCTCTCCCAGCTGTGCTGAGCGCTGGTCAGAAGAAGATGACTGGAGATGAGCATAGGGAACCATCTCTCCTTCCCCACAGTGCCCCCAGGGCTGCATTCGCAGGGCTCCCTAGGAGTCCAGGGGACGACTGGGAGCTCCTGGGTGTTGGGTAAAGCACCATTGTGAGATGGTGTCCCAGGGAAGCTTTCGCACCATGTGGGCAGACCCCAATGCCATGGGGGGGGGGGGGGGGTGTCCCACATACCCATGGGATCGCCATTCTCACAGGCCCTGGGCTGGCTCTGAGTCCTGAGGGCTCTGAAGTTAATTTCCTCTGTGCACCATTGTGTAATCACCAGCAGGGGGAGCCCGTTAGGATGATAGGGTGACTTGGCCAGGTCGCTAGGCCTGGGTGTGATAACACTGCAAAATGACCCACAGCAGTAAACACTGCTCGGCGGAACAGAGAGTTTGCTGTGCGTGATGATCCCAAACGTCATCAGCCTGGAACTGACCCTACTATGGGGCCAGGACATGCAGGACCTGGCCCCAGCTCCATGCATGAGCTAGCACTGGTCCCACTGTGGAGTCTGCACATTGTGCTTAGCCCAGAGCAGGCCAGGAGCTGCTGAGCTAGACTGGGGAAGGCAGCAAAGTGCTGGCCGCTGTGGGGACTGTTCTGTTCATTCCCTCTGAAGCACCTGGCACTGGCCACTGTCAGAGGCAGGATACTGGGCTAGGCGAACCATTGGTCTGACCCAGTATGGCCGTTCTTATAGGTTTGAAGAGCTGAGCCCTGAGTTCATCCCAGGCAGAGTGAGTGAGGTGAGTGTCCCAGAACTGGGCTGCTCACACCAGCTCACAGGCCCCCCACATGGCCCACCCCATGCCACATGTGGCCTGGCAGCGACGTGGATACGGGATGATGAATGGCCTGGCACTGATTCTTTGTCTAGCGGAGCCAGGTGCTAGGCACTATGATATCCCTGGCTGGACCACGGCAGGGGAAGGGTCCCGCCATCCCCTCAACCAGAGAGGAGAGCCAGGGAGAGAACAGAGGAGGAAAGGAAGTCTCCTGCCCTCTCTCAGGCTACAAGGGGACCCCTGGGTGGGTTGGGGCAGGAGGCCTGTGCCCTGAGCCACTGCCTGAACTCTGGGAAGGAGAAAGATGTAGACCCCTGGTTCCTGCCCCTCACTTCCTCTCCTGGCTCCTGCTCTCCAGGCTTTGGCAGGGGAACTGGAGGGCAGCCTGAGCAGCTGACAGACTATGGCTGCTCCCTTCTCCACCAGAAGGGACAGGGCTCTCCGCCCCCAGCCCCAGATGGATGCCTCTGGCCTGACTGCTGGGAAAGGTGCCAGGCTGAGACAAATGCCCCCGCCGAAAGCCCACCCCCCATCAATGAGCCTCAGAGCAGTACGGGGGGGGGTCCCTCTGCTGGGTTACCAAGAAGGGGCCAACAACCCAGCCTCGGCCAGTCCCGCTGCCTGCGCCCCCCTGCAGGGGAGGCCCGCTGCGGTACTCACGGGCGCACTGCAGGCTCTTCCGGGGGCCCCCCCAGACGAAATCTCCGCACAGGTCGCACCAGGTCTGCTGGCCGCGGGTGCAGGGCCGGAAGGCGTGGCCCTCGCCCAGCTGGCCCGTCAGCCGGGGGTCGTTCTGCCCGCCCAGCAGGCGGATCTGCCGCACGCGGCTCAGGAGCTCGGGCACCTTGCCGGGCGTGATGCGCAGGGCGTTGGTGCGCTCCAGGCGCACGGGGCGCTCCGGGGTGCCCCGGGTCAGGTCGATCCGCTTCTCCAGCTCTAGGTTCTTCAGCTCGATCATCTCCTGGGCCGGGGCCGCGGCCATGGCCCCGGGGAGCGCAGCGAGGGGGGGCCCAGGGCAGAGCCCCTCCGGCGATGGCACTGGGGTGGGGGAAGCCTCAGCGCGAAGCCCGGCCCCCGGCCCTCCCTTCCTCTGTCTGCCTCGCTCCCCTTTTCAGCCCGCCCGGCTCTTTCCTCCCCGCCCCCTGGGTTTGAACGAGGCGCAAACTCCGCGCAGACCCTGGCGGGGATCGCAGCGAAGTTCCCGCCGGCTCCTGGCTCTCCTCGGCCGGGACGCGTCGCCCCAGCACCGCTCAGCGGGGCCGCTTTGTGTTGGGGGGTGCCCCGGATTCGCCTGGTTCATCTCGCTCGGTCACACGGGCGGAAACATCCCGCAGCGGCTGGGTCTGCGAGGGCAGCGGTCCCGGCTGTGCGCCCCGGGCTCCCGCTGGAGTTGCTGCCCGCGCCTCGGAGCCCCCGAGGAGGGAAGGACCGGGCGGGAGCGCGGGGCAGATTCACACGGAGACCGTGGCGGGGGCCGTCCTCCCCCGGCAAAGGGGGGACGAACTGAGCGGACAGCGCAGAAATAACCCCGCGGGCGGCAGGAAAAGCGGTGCCCGGCTGCCCTGGTATCCCAGAGCGCCCCCGAGGCTGCCGTGGCAGGATCAGCCCCCAGCCCGGCTGGAGGTTCGGTTCCTGCTGTTCCTAGAGCGAGGCCTGCGCCCGGCCTCTGCACTGGGGAAGGGGAGCGAGCAGGCGGGGCCCCCCCCCCGAGAGAGAAACTCGGGGCTGCTTGGGGCCCTTCGGAAAGCTGGCTGAGGGGAGTGGGCTGGGCGCTGGCTCTTAACCCTTTGTGGGGCAGGGTCCCTGCAGCTGGCCTGGGTCAGCCCCTGGTGTCCAGCAGCAGGGTTAGGGAGCAGGACTGGTAGGTCTGGTGCAGGGATTTCCCTACACCCCCTGAATTTACCCAGCACCCTTCTTCCCCCCCCCCCCCCAGTTTTGTGAACTAGTTACATGCAGTGTTGCCAATTGAGTGGTTGTTTGGAAACTTGAATTGAAATTGAAACGTTAATACGCACTTTAAAAGCATATACAGTGTATGATAAAATACGTGTATCTGAAAAAGTATAATAGATTTGAGAAGTATGAACATAGACTAGCTTCCGTATCCAGCTGTTGTTTTTTATACCAATGTCAGTGCATTCATTTCGGTGATGTTGGTCAACCTAATAATTTCAAATGATGATTTGTAAGCAAAGTCTAAATGAGCTCTCCCTGACAGCTAGTGATGAGCTGTGGGGGAAGTCTTCGGGACCAGATTGTATTTACAGGTTTCAGAGGAACAGCCATGTTAGTCTGTATTCGCAAAAAGAAAAGGAGTACTTGTGGCACCTTAGAGACTAACCAATTTATTTGAGCATGAGCTTTCATGAGCTACAGCTCACTTCATCAGATGTATACCGTGGAAACTGCTAGGTAACACTAGAAGAAGTTTCCACGGTATACATCTGATGAAGTGAGCTGTAGCTCACGAAAGCTCATGCTCAAATAAATTGGTTAGTCTCTAAGGTGCCACAAGTACTCCTTTTCTTATTGTATTTACAGTCACACCTAATCTACCTAGGTATCCAGCAAACAGAGCTGTGTTGCCCAAGTGATAGATTTTGGCTGGGGTTGGGTTACAAATCACTTGAATGGGGGGGGGGGGTAAAGAAATGCTGTTGTTCTTATTATAGGAGTAAAGGGCAACAGCCTGTGCTGATTGAGGCCATCAAGAGAGAGGGTGGGGACAGGTGTTTTGCTTGATGGTCTGCCAGAGTCTCAAGGACGATTTGACCTGCCCCTCTCCACTGTTTAAAGACAGAGCTGATTAGGCTTTATAGATGGTCTCTTGTTTTATTAAGTGACCACTGCAGCTGAAATCACTGATAATCAGGTCTAAGTGCTTAGACCTGCTGGGGGACAGTGTTTCTGCGGAAGAGACAGCCCAGACTGCACTAGCAGCGAGGTTCCCCCACGGAGAGCTCAGCTGAAATCACTGAGAGCTGCTGGAACCTCAAGAGACCAACTCGCAGAGGTCACAGCGGCAGGTGGCAGCAGAAGGTGACGGCGCAGGGCCACTGGCAACAGAGCCATGGAGTGAACGGTGGCACAACGAACAACAGTGGACAGAACGAACAGTGAGCAGCTGGAGGAACGAGCAAGGTGCCTTCTTGTCCTCCACCTGGGAGGTGAACTCGTGTGAAAACACCTCTGAAGTCTGGGTCTCCACTGCCCAAGGACAACACCGGTGGTGTTAATGAGGCTGTTAAGAATGCTGGAGACACAAGCCAGTTCATGTGGACAAACACGGCTGTGGCATCTTACTTTCTGTTTCAGCAAGAGACACCGCACGCTACAAACCAGAGGCCAATGTTAAGTGCATTGTCGCTTGTTCATCCTAAACACTGGTTCTGAACAAGACCAGCAAATGCTCACTGTCTTTCTGCAAGGAACTCAACTGACTGGCTAGAACAGGGGAGGGCAAACTTTTTGGCTCAAGGGCCACAGCAGGGTGCAAAACTGTATGGAGGGCTGGATAGGGAAGGCTGTGCCTTCCCAAACAGTCTGGCCCCTGCCCCCCATCTGCCTTCTCCTGCTTCCCGCCCCCCTCAGAACCCAACCCCCCCCCCGCTTCTTGTCCCCTGACCGCCCCCTCCCAGGACCCCTGCCCCTAACCGCGCCCTGGCACTCCATCCCCTGACTGCCCCCCCAAACCTCTGCCCTATCCAACCGCCCCCTGTTCCCTGTCCCTTGACCGCCCCCTCCTGGGACTCCCTCCATTCCCCCCCCCGGATCCCACCTCCTATCCAACTGCTCCCTGACTGCCTCCCAGGACCTCCTGTCCCTTATCCAACCCCCCGGCCCCCTTACCATGCCACTCAGAGCAGCATGTCTGGGAGCCATGCCGGAACCAGACACACGGCCGCGCTGCCCTGCATGCATGCCCCATGCAGCAGCATGACTGTGGGGAGGGAGACAGCAGGGGAGGGGCCAAGGGTGAGCCCCCCAGGCCAGGAGCTCAGGGGCCAGGCAGGAAGGTCCCACGGGCTGTAGTTTGCCCATCTCTGGGCTAGAAACATGTGGTGCAACAGTGAAAGACTCAACAGTTGAAAAAGTGAAGAACTCTCTCCCCACATTTGAAAAAATTGCATACATGGCTGATGAATGCACCGATGCATATGGGCATCAAGTATTAAGTCACTGATGTCCGGGGTAGGCCAGTAGATGCATTTCATAGAATCATAGAATATAAGGGTTGGAAGGGACCCCAGAAGGTCATCTAGTCCAACCCCCTGCTCGAAGCAGGACCAATTCCCAGTTAAATCATCCCAGCCAGGGCTTTGTCAAGCCTGACCTTAAAATTTCTAGATGTTCAAGTTGTGGAAGACAAATCGGCTACATCTGTGACAACCCACATCTTAGAAGAGTTAAATGCTTGTCAATTGGACCCCAAACAGATGGCTGCTTGTGCATTTGATGAAGCTGCAAACTTCTCAGGAAGACATGGTGGAGCACAAGCTTTGCTCAGAGAAAAGTGTAACCCTAATCTCTCCAATATACACTGCAGAGGCCATCTACTCCAGCTAGCGCTAGGACGAGCTGCAGACTCTTCAAAAGACATTTTAAAAAGCTACAGATTTAATGTCTTCATTATGTTCTTTTTTCAGCAAGAGTCCAAAAAGACTGAATATCTTGGAAAATATAGAAGACACACGGGGACTGAAGTTCAAATTAGTCCAACTCTGCCACTCTGTGCCTCAGTTTCCCATTTGTAAAATGGGGATAACAATATTGCCCTCCCTCAGACAGGGTGGGGAGAGCAACTGCTGACAAGTTCTGTGTATTGTTCTTCCCTTCCTCTAGTGGCTCTTTTCTATCCCTGCTGCTGCTTGGTCTTAGCTGCTGGGCGGTTGGTACATCTTCTCGCTTTGACGCGTTACACAACCTCTCCAATAAAGATCAGCTTTATTTGAGAAGGAGTCTCTTTGTTCCAAGAGCTGGGCGAGGCTTTGGCAGGCGGTAAGGAAGGAGGACCACAAAAAAAGAAATCTACCCCAGTGCCCTCTTCTTAGGGCGAGGGGTGGTGCAGAAATCCCGAGAGAGCAGGCAGTGAAAGCAGGGCATCTCACTGGAGATTCACCTGGTCTCTGTGCCCAGAGAGGGACAGAGATGCCAGTCAGTACAGATTCCTCCCCCCCACCCCCGTGCTTGTGCCCAGAGAGGGACAGAGATGCTTGTCAATGGAGACTTCCCCTGGTAGATGAAGGCACTGCTGCTTCCAGTTTCCAGCACTTCAGGGTGAAGGCAGAGGAGAGGCAGCCCTGGCTAATGGTGCCAGCACCTCCCAGGCCAGTGAGGATCCTGCAGTGCCCTGGCATGGTGCTGAGGGGCAGAGCAGGCCCCTGGGCAGGGAGCGTAGTTAGAGCCAGACAAAAGTTCTGTACAGATGATTTATCCTATTCCCAGTAACATTCACAAGCAGGGCAGAGGGCAGTATCCCTCCTGGCTTGGGGAAAGAGGGCAGGGTGAGGGGAGAGAGCAGGATGCCCCCACCCTGCTCTGACCCACTGCCATCTTCCAGAGGGAAATGCCCCTGGCTGGCACAGGAGGCCCCTCGCCTGAGCTGGGGAGCCCTCAGCTTTACCAAATTCAATCCCAGTTTGCAGCATCAGGACCCACCTTCTCCTCACCTGTACTGCAGAGCAAGGGAGTGGCCCTGGCCCTTCACTAGCTACCATCCCCTGCCCTCCCCAATAGGATGCACGGCTGCAGCCTGCCTCCTCCGTACACTCATGCTGGAAGTTTGAACCCTCTGTACCAAGTCAAGATGCTCCTTGGGAATTCAGTAGCTGGGCTCTCTGTGCCGTCCCTCCCAGGCCACCTGAGGAAGAGAGCTGGCCCCAGCCCAAGCAGGGAGCATGCCTCAAGGGGTGGGTGACGTCCCAGTTTGGACAGGGTGCTTCATGCCTAAGAAAAGCTGGAATGAAGCAGGTCATAAAGAGGGATAGGACCAGAGAGGTGACCTATCATCACTGAGGCCCAGCAAAGAGAGGAAACAGCTAAGCTGCATGGT